GAAACAGAGAACATGTCATATTCGGCGTAAGCTGTCTTTCCTTGTGTGTCTTCAAGCTCCACTCGCAGCCTGCTCTTTGTTTTCGTCAGGCGGTGTATTTTGTCCATTCCGAGCCAAAACTCACCACTCACGTTTCCGAAGCCACGTTTGAAGTCCGCCCAGTCGCGGTTACTGAAATCAACGGAGCCATTGAGTCTCTTCTGGAACACTGTCTATCCCCGCCGACCGGCAGAAAGTTTTTGGTCGCAGAACACATCAAACGAACCTAAACCATCGGGGTCGATTGTGTAAACTCCACTGACTCTTTGGCCGGATTTATACAGTTCAGCGCAGTTTTTCATAACTATTGAGAGGCATCAAAGAATTGTAGTCAGTATCCTATATTTCGGCATAAATGAGTAATGACATTAGATTTTGTTAGACATTTAAGAATAAATATTAGCGAGAAAAACACACAACGTTTCGATGACTCCATGTCCTCATTCTCAAGTGAGAAGAGAATAAAAATGAATAGTTAATTTATACCGTTCGAAGGTGACAAACGTAAAAAGTTGAACTCAACACGCGCAATTATTTATTTAAACTTTTTAAAAATTTTTATCTTTTTACGTTTGTCACCTTCGTACGGTATAAATTAACTATTCATTTTTATTCTCTTCTCACTTGAGAATGAGGACATGGAGTCATCGAAACGTTGTGTGTTTTTCTCGCTAATATTTATTCTTAAATGTCTAACAAAATCTAATGTCATTACTCATTTATGCCGAAATATAGGATACTGACTACAATTCTTTGATGCCTCTCAATAGTTATGAAAAACTGCGCTGAACTGTATAAATCCGGCCAAAGAGTCAGTGGAGTTTACACAATCGACCCCGATGGTTTAGGTTCGTTTGATGTGTTCTGCGACCAAAAACTTTCTGCCGGTCGGCGGGGATAGACAGTGTTCCAGAAGAGACTCAATGGCTCCGTTGATTTCAGTAACCGCGACTGGGCGGACTTCAAACGTGGCTTCGGAAACGTGAGTGGTGAGTTTTGGCTCGGAATGGACAAAATACACCGCCTGACGAAAACAAAGAGCAGGCTGCGAGTGGAGCTTGAAGACACACAAGGAAAGACAGCTTACGCCGAATATGACATGTTCTCTGTTTCCAGCGAAAGAAACAAATATAGACTTGGCCTTGGAAAGTATAGCGGTAAGTATTTACAATGTGAGGATTGTTCTGTTTTAGCCAGAATATAGGTTCCTAAAGATACAGCCGAATCAGAGCGATTCCTTCACTTTTATACAGACCAAAAGCCCCGGCGTCACAGAAAAAATTGCTATACATGACGTTGTAACTTGCTCAAGAGCCCCGAACAGTAGATTCTTTGTTTTGTATTTTTTCTTTTTTTCTTTTGTTTTTTGTTTGTTTGTTTGTTTGTCTGTTTTTTTAGCATTTATCGCATTCTATTCTATCGTCAGAGACTGAAAAACGCTGACAAACTCAATTTCTCTCTAAACTAACACTCGATTTCTGCACGTTCTGATCGTTCTTCCTAAACTCCACCTTTGATGGTAGCAATGAGTTTTAATTTTGTGCCTTCTCTTGCTAACTGTCTGTATTTTTGTCTCAGGAACTGCTGGTGATTCTCTGAGCTATCATCGTAACATGGCATTCTCCATCAAAGATCGCAACAATGATAATGGCTCAGTAGGCAGCTGTGCCGTAGGCTCTAACAGCGGCTGGTGGTTCAATGGCTGTGTCCGTGCCAGTCTGAACGGCTACTATTACCACGGTCCGCATACTTCGGCCGAATGCCGTGGTATCAACTGGCTAACGTGGAAGGGTCCCAAATACTCTGCTGAGAGAGCTGAAATGAAGGTCAGGCCCGTGGACTCTCAATCATAGGCTAGAAACATACACAGATAAGGAATACACTACACCAGCTATTGTGTACCAGCTTTACAGCTACATTGTTGAGAGACAGATTGAAAAGGACCAAAAAGAAATGTAATGTGTTTAGTTAATGGGTTGAATAAAAAGAATGATAAAATACGTTTAGTTTATTTTCGTGTATCACTACTGAATCATTTTGCGATCGATAGCGTGAAATCGCCAAAAATTAGTTGTACTAGATGGATTATCAGTCACCGGGTTGTCTGTGAGACCTTGTATCCTGACGCTGATCCAAGCCAAGAGAAACTGAAAAGATCTAGAAGTACTTACCTGCCTCTACTAGGCATTCTCTTTCAGGGTCCTGATAAAGATAAGGGCTAAAAGACCCAATAGACTTTCCTATGGGATTTATTAGAAGTTTCAAAAGAATCGGCAGAGTGAAAAAAAAAAGAAAGAGAGAAAAATATTTTCAACGAGATGCGATACAGACAATAGCTCTCTGTGAGGGCTTGTCACTTTGAATCCAGAAGCTTAACCCTGCTAATTTGGACAGAGTCACGCAATATCATTATTGTAATCAAGACACTGATTATACCAACCAAAACAACATCATTGACTTGATAGCGTTATGTCTCCGTGTGAGGTATATCAAGTGCATGTAATGTTCTTCCTGAATTTCTTCACCCCTCTATACTTACTCCTTTTCGAACAAATCGCACAACACTTTGCTATTTATGATCCATTTTTTTTCTATCCGTAAAGAAATAATGTTTTGTTCTAAAAGAAAGAAAAAGTGCAAGAGTCATAACTCCACTCAAGAGTTCAACTGGAAAGTTCAGTGTTTAAATGTAGATGGAAAAAGAACTACTTTGACTGAGGTGTGAGGTTTTATACCCCTATTGCTATTCGTTTTAGTTGCTTTTTCAAAACAATTTTCAAATTATTTTTGTTAAAAAACTGTATTTATACAAGTTTTAACGAAACTAGGTCCCTTAGAAACAATACGTTTCTTAGGAGAAACTCAATAACTTTGATACTTCGTTCGATTTCAATGTTTAGATACGAGTGTCATGACTACTGCGCTTTTTAACCTTTGTGTCAAACAACAATCACTGAAGTTTTTGCTAAACACTCAAAAACCTTCTTTAGTTAATCTTGTTATCTAAATGGCTCATAATTTATTTATAATTAGTATGCCGAGAACTTTACACCACCCCCAGACTTGCATTTTCGAGGATATGAATTTGTAAGCTGTTCTGTATATAAACCAAATAACCTTGGAAGATTACAGGAGTTTTGTCGCTGTCCTGTTTGAGGTTTCATCCTTCTTTGTGCTATCGCAGCGCTGAATGCGTCACGTGGAAGATTTATTTGATAACTAGATGGTGTTGCGTGCCCTTCATTCAAAAGCACCTCGGCGCAATCCGTAAACTGATTTTCGTGAGCTATTGTCAAAGCGCTTTTCCCTTTCTTGTTCATTCTATTTACATCAAGCCTGTTCCTTCTGAAAACTTTGGATATCGTTTTAATAATGTTTATATTGCCAGACATGCTTGCTAATATCAGATTCGTGTTTCCCTCAGTATCTACGCTGCCCACTGCAAGATCAACTTCGGGATAACTAAAAAACAGCTTGACCATATCTTCTCTTCCCGTAAGACAAGACCACGACAAGGCCGATCGGCCAAACTTATCCAGCAATTTAATCTTGGCGCCGTAATTTAGCAGCATTTTAGCAGTCCTCCGGCGAAGCTTGCTGTTTTCTAAGAACACTGCTCTAATTAGAGCAGTTTGTCCGTTGTCCAAATCTTTGCAGTTTACGTTGACACCCGCGTCTAACAGCAAGCGAATTTGACGAAGTCTCCCTTGACTGACAGCTTCTAAAAGTATCCGAGGCCTTCCACTGAACGTGACAGGAGGCCTTACACAGTTGTTCTTGTCGAATTCAGTGTCTATCCACGCAACCTTTTGTTGAAGATCGGGAAATGGTTGCCTTTGGTGACCAACCGACAAAGAAGGCGATGACATAACTTATGCGTTTTCCGACCTGTTGAGACAAGCCTTGTTCCAGTGGTTCGCTTACGCGAAAAAAAACAAACTTCTTCTCAGCTAGTTCATGTTGACAAACTCTGTAAGAGGTATGTTTGTTAATTGTTGTAGAGTTTCATAGCATTGTTATTGCTCGTTCAACTCGCCTTTCATTAAAATTCACCAAACAATTCCTTCTGCTATTGTCTTAAAACTCTTTGTTGCGACATCAACGCCAAGGGATGATATGGGATTTATTGCACGGCAGGTCAGGCTTGACTGACCTTCTGATTAACCGATTCGACAGAAAGTAAATGCTCACACGATTTAGGGTCACGTACGGAAAGGATGATTAATACCTTCTTCTACTCACTGAATGTGATCGTGCAGTGGACATGCGATTTTTCACTTTGAAGAAATGTGAAGGTTTTGTTTTTTACAGAATTTGGAGGTTTGTTTCCAACTGAAAAAGCATCTAACAGAAGACAACTTATTTTACCTCTGCCCCTCGTTATTTACATATTTACACAATCTTTAGGAAAAACGAAATTTCATTAGACATTGATCACAAAGGCGGGGCGTAAATTAATCAATCTCTTTACGGCGAAGACGAGAAACTTAGCACTTTGTTAGGAACCTCTGGAACCGATAAGCTGTCATTCTCTGTTCACAAATCTTTCACATGCAACAAAAAATTGATAAGAAGTACTCCGCCATATAAGTTTTAAGACATATGGAGTTTTCTTTCTTTTCGCTTCAAACTCAGTTTTATTCATATGCTAACAGGATACTTAGGAGAAATTTCACGCTGTTTCGTGATTGGGTGACACAGCTAAGTAAACTCTTCAAGGGTCAAGTAGTCTCCTTTTAATAGAGAACACATGTATTACTAACGAGAACTTGGTCACGTAAACGTGTATGATAACACGAACGCATAAAAGTTGTTTTGACTCAGTATACTGAGGCAAGAGATTATAATCTCTTAACTGAGTTTATCCGTACCTCTCGCGAGCTTCTGATCCAATCAGACAAAACGCTAAGAAATCAGTTATTATTTATAGCCAGAATGGAATGGGGGGGTATCGGGGGATTTTTGGAGGATCACATGGCCTTCAGGAGGAACGGAGGGGGGGTTAGTCGTCGCTAACAAATAAAGGTATAAAGGGGGAGCCTACAGAAAATTGACTGCTAATTTATTCCAATATCACTGGGCATTAGGGAGGATTCAGTGGATTCAAAATTCTCCCCACCCCCCCAGACGATAAATAATGACCGGTCCCTAGAAGGGAAACAGGGGATTAAAACAATTCGAAAATCACATTTTTTTTCTTGAACTTTTCTCTTTTATTTCATTCATTTTTTTTGCGAATGTTCTCAAGACTTGCTCAGTATCAAGATAGGGTGAGTGAGATGTACAGGCAAGAATGGTATGGACAACATTTAGATTTAATGCAGGAGGCTAGAGGCTACTTGTCACGTGACTTATTGGTCAAATTATTATTTTTGGCATAGTAATGAACTGAGACGAAAAAAGGGGCCTGTGAACGAGGCCAATATCCATCCGAAAAAATCCTTGGTAAATCGAAGATTTATCAAGCGGCCCAAAAATATATTCGTAGTTATCATATAGCAAGGTAATTCTTACTTGGTCAGAAATTGCGATTACGTAGTTTTGGTCGCGACAGCCGGCAAAAAAGTTTGGTCCGAGTGCCATATGATTAATTATATACTGACCTCATTTGCTCGAGCTTTACTGGGGAATACTGGCCCACGTTCATTTTTTGGACCTCACTACGCCCGGTATGAATTGCCACGACCTTGGGCCAATATTCCCCAGTACTAGTACGGCTCTTGCACTCATCAAATAAAAAATTAATACTGGGGAACCTTCCGTTTCAAAACCATGACTGATAAATTGTGGGAGGCATCGATTATAATAGGGTACTTTTAAGAACATTTTTCTAAAAGGTGAATGTCCTAGTCATTTGCTTTAGTTAAGTTTCAACACAATTAATTTAATACACTTCAGAACAAAGGCTTCCGTTTTAAAAATTGACTCATCAGTTCCAAACCAGAACAAATGCTTCATCAGCTGCGGTACCTTGGACTTGAGTCAAATAGTTTAAATGAATCCAACAATCTACTGCGAATAGCTGTGATTTAAGAGAAAATTACAATAAGTTGGTTTTTTTTTTTTTTTCAAACGTTTCTACATGGCTTAACCCTTTTACTCCTATGGGTGACCAAGACAGAATTTCTCCTTACGACTTCACTGACAATATCAAGCAGACAAGTAATGAGAATAAAGAAAAATGTGAACACAGGGATCATTAGTTGATCCAATACCAAATTCTCCAAGCTGACATTACAAGAATTGTATCGCAGACAGTGAGGAGAATTACTAATGAGATCTTGGGAGTGAAAGGCGGTAAAGCGTTACGTAACTTACGTTTAGTAATTATTTTCTTGAACAGGTATCCTTTATTTACAAGTTATTTCATTTCAGTTCATGTTGTCCGAATGCCAGTTGACCTACTATCTTACCAGGTTGTCATTGCTATTTCATGTGGTAGGGTTGTCTTTCGCACTGGCTGTGTAGGGATCTTATGACGTCATGATAAAAATTGACACGACAAAAGGCGTTTAATCCAAGAAGATGTGAGCATGCGCATGAGAGTTTTGGTCAGTTTCACTTGTACTTCTATTGCTGGTCGAAAGCCTCTCGAAAAACACCAACCAGTGCGGTAAAAAAAGAGAAAAAAAAAACAGTGAAAACTTCTCTCTCGCTACCTAAAGATAACCATTTCATTTGTCTATCACCAAATCATTACACTGCTAGTGTTCGTCAGGAAACGAGGTCAAAAGTTACTGTGTCGTTATTTTTTTAGCTTTTTGGAATCAAATGCGCCTGCCTACCATATACCTTATCCATCAAACTGAGCAACAATTTAGATGGAAAAAGATTTGAGTGACCAACATTTTGGCACTACAAGAGTTCTAGGTCCTCCCCTCTTGGCCCTGGTCTGAATCTCTTTGGTTTCATTGAGCTTCCCCCACCTGTAAGAGGGGGGCTCATCATAGCTGAGTCTGTCTAGAAACCCTGTTCGTGTTATAAAATCATGCAAGACTGTCAATACCGGGGAAAATCCTCTCTATAGCTCGCGGGCTTGTAGAAATGCCTTTCAAAACAGTGAACTGCGATCAATTTCGAGCTGCTATAGACTATCAAAAGCATTACGTAATCGCAGCCGGTGAGTTTATTCAGGAGGCTGTCACACGCTCAATTCTAAATACGGCTCCACAAAACCCTCATCAACACACCTTGGATCAATTACCTTAACTCTATAATTTGGATATATCAACAAAGTTGAAATGGTAGATTGGCCACCGTAACGATTACAAAAGCTCACGTTTCGAGCGTTAGCCCTTCGTCGGAGCGAATAGAGGAATTGTGTGCTTTTAAAGGCAGAAAATGGAGCTACGTGATTGGTGGGAACATGGCAATTTATTCGAGTTTTTCTCATTGCCATGTTCCCACCGATCACGTAGTTCCATTTTCTGCCTTTAAAAGCACTCACAACCCACAATTCCTCTATTCGCTCCGACGAAGGGCTAACGCTCGAAACGTCAGCTTTTGTAATCGTTAAGGTGGCCAATTGACCATTTCAACTTTGTTGATATATCCAAATTATTTCTTTACTCCCACCGACGCAGCCCCAAACAGTTTCTTTAAAAACTATCAGCCTTAATTTTACCTTTACTCTAGTCGACCTGTTCCTTCTCTCGAGAAAACAAGAGAAAATTAGCTTGATTTTCCTAACGCGATAGTTATTTGCGTTTTCACTTATTTTTATCTTGTTATCCCCTCCAGGTCATAAATTCGCACAGTTCATTGTTATGTGCATTAGAGAAGTAAGTCCATATCACACAAAAGGCTTTTGTCTCAGATAAGGGTGAATGAGTGTCTAAAATGCTAATTCGCTATAAAAAGACAAGACAAGCTAACATTACTTTTAGACTCTATTGTAGCCATGGTTCACCATGACGTGCAAGTGAATTTTAATTCATTCTAGAGAGATTTAGTACAAAGGAAGTAAATCTCAAAGGAGTAGGTCCGATCAGCCTCATCGTTGAAAATAATTGAGCTAATATGAGTTATATTTGCTTGTTTTGCAAACGGTTTCTATAGCACTGCGATAGTGCAAGACAAGAAATCAAACCTCACCATGTTGCTGGAAGCAGTTTCAAGGGGCAGGCTATACCAAGTTAAATTCTTACTGGAATCGTTTACTGAGGACGTGAACAAAGTGGATGAAAATCGTCAAACCGCTCTGATGAAAGCGATTTTTCTTCCCGACACAATGCACCGCACGTGTTACAAAATTGTGAAGATTCTACTCGACCACAAAGCGCGCGTCAACGTTGCAGACAGGGAAGGAAGAACAGCGTTGATGTGGGCTTGTATTCGCGGACAAGAAAACGTCGTCAGAAAGATCCTCGATGCTTCAATTTTAGATCTGGATTTGAACGGAGGAGACAAGTACGGAAACACAGCATTGTTCTACGCCGCAGCGAGTGGTCAAGTGAATACCGTGAAAAGACTTGTGACAGCGATAAAACGATTTGGACTGGATATCGATAAAAAGAACGCGCAAGGAATGACACCGATACTGGAAGCCACCAAACGTGGGCATGATGAATGTGCACAAGTGCTGATGACCGAAGGTAAAGCATCTCTAACAATTAGAGACCCTGAAACTTTCTTAAACACCAAAGAATGGGCTGAAAAGCGCTCTTTGACCAACTTATCTGAACTCATTGCACGAAGGAGCCCCTCGCCGCAGATGGCAGTACAAAACGTTGAGAACGATCTGGAGCTCCACGAAGTGATATCATCAGCCTCAGATTTGGAAAATGAGAACAATCAGAGAAACCTTGCTAATGAGAGTGGTAACGGTAATGAACAAGCAGCACGTTCGCCGCAACAAAGACGAGGCTCACTGTTGAATCATGAAAAGATTAAAGGGCCAATCGACACGCTTCCTTCGTCACGGCAGGGTCGAAACACACCACTGATAACAGAAAATAAAAAAGAGGGATCAGTTTCTTCAAGGAGTTCCACCCCAACCGTATCTTTAACAAGAAGAAAAAGCGAACTTTTTGACAAGACCAAAATCGGAAAGGCTGCCATTACGGCAAAATCAGAAATGTGCCGGCTTCTGAGCTTGTATGGCATTCAACATTCTGAATCTTACAGGCAGAGTTTCGACCCGATACTTCTACCTCCAAGTGGTTACTGGCCCGATCCACTAGCTCATCTCAGAGACAACACTTCATTCGTAGGGGATGACTATTTAGAGTCGAGTTTTTTAGATCTCCTACGACCACGCGGATCGGGTCGTCGGAGATCTTCGGCTTTTCCCGGAGCTCCTGATATGGGTCGACGAGGGAGCAGTGTTGCTGGTCGAAAAGGGTCAATAATGCCCAATGGATCCGGTGCGGGAATGGGAAAGAGAGGTTCTCTTGCTCCATCATTGATGTCGATGGGGGTTAGTAAAAACTTTCTAGAGACTCCAGGACTTCTTACGTCGCGAAGAACGACTTTATCTGCAAACAATGCAAGGGGAACAACATCACTGAGCCCTTTCGACAGGAGGGGCTCACTTATGCCGAGAGGAAGTCAACAGACTAGGCCCACGCTCCCTCGCCGGACTACTACGCACATCACGGTTGGACTAGGACAAATACAGGAGAGCCAGAACTGATTCGAAGAAAACAGTTATTGCATGAACGGACAGTGAAAAATCTACCAAACGTAAAATCTACTTTTTAAGTTTATTCAGAGTTTCTCTGTCACGTTAAAAAGCCGAGTGAAATGAAACCAAGTGTCCTATTCAATGTACCAATCCCAGAACGGTTTGGTATGTCACCATGACAATTTTACTTTCAGCTGACGCGACTGAGGGGGTGAATTGGCCAGGAGAAACTCGAGTAAACAAGAGCTAGTGCGTCCTCTGTTATCTTATTTAGCCTGTGAGCAGGCCCCAAATATCAGCGTTCCGGTGAGGACGCTACTTCGTTCGCGAGAAAGTTTAAGGCAACGCCACTGATAATTATTAGTGCCAGGCCCTTACAGGCAAGTCTTCGGCTCTCTTTGCCCGAGGCTTACTCGCTCATAGGTTTAATGAGGGCCCACTTCCAGGGTAGCGCTTATTTCTCAGAAGGAGCTAGTTGTTCAGTTCAAATGCGCACTTGGTTTGCACGCCACGATTCTTAGTAACAACAAGTAAGCGCCTCGTACACAACTTTAAGATGTGTGGCGAAAAAAACCTTTGGTGGAACGATGTGACTTCGTAGTACGGGTATAGCGATGTGGTAATGTTTCATAACGATGTGACCGAAAATTTTGAACGAAATGACGACACACCACACGCGGCGATCAGTTGGAAAACTTACATATAAGAATTATATTAGTCGCTCTCAAGTCACGTTTTTTCATTGACATGGCCTATTGTCACTGTGTTGTTCTGTTCTACTATGTTCAAGAGTTGTTCATGTGGGTCGCAGTCTCATTAAAATTGTAAAGAATTCCTGAAAAGATTATCGCTTTTGTTGAGACATTCTACTTATCACCTTCTAATTGACTACAAGAGTTTTTTGCACTTCGATTTTTTTAAGCGCCAAGATAACAAAAACATTGTTTAAACGCTTCCTTCCACTGAAAACCAAAAAACCAAGAAACAAACAAACGCAACAGAGATTTTTTAAAGATTAATTTTTGCTTTATTCCAAATGCATAATTGTTATTAAGGTACATTGTTTTACAGCCTTCTTTTAAACAGATCATAAATCCTTTCCTCATATTGCCAGTCTGCAAACAAAACCACCCGTGAAAACTCTCTCCAGTTTTGTACCAAGATTAGTAAACAGTCACCACAAAGTCCTCAAAGTAGACACATAAAGAAAATAACAATAACATGGAAAACAAAATCAAATACGCCCAGGGAATGTGCCACTCTCCATTTGGTCATCCCAGTTTTCCACCTGCAAGAATGACATAAATTATTGTTACTCTTGGGTACAGGACAAAAGGTAACAGAAATCGTCACCAATGGGAATACTGTATTAGGTCATTTTGTACCAGTTCTTTCTGTCAGCCTTCAGAAGCCTCAAAGTCATTACAGAAAATCAACAACACAATGTGCCCCCCGACCCCCCCCCCAAAAAAAAGCACTATAAATGTGACATGTAATTGTAGGCAGTTAAAGAAATGCCTCTGAGACACAACAGTCCAAAAATGAAAAGACTTAATGGATATTTCCCCCCCCCCAACCAGAAAAAAAGTGCTCATTAATTTTTGATCCCAGTAAGCATTTCTACTGTAATATTACAGCAATAATGTATTTCCTTCTATTATTTTTAGCTACTCTACCAGAACAGCCAAGAAAGTTGTGAAATAAAAATGATTTCACTAACTTACATTTTAGCCCCTACTACATGTTGCTGAATCATTAGGAAAAGCAATGAGTTAAAAATTGGGTAGTTTACAGTGGAACACTAACCGTCTTCAATTTTTAATTCATTTCAATTGAATTTTGTTCTCTTTATCTACGATGATGATTTGGAATGTAAATGGAAATAATCTTAATATAGAGAGATTTCACAGTGTTTTATTCCAAATAAAAATCAATTTAAAAGCTGCATTTCTTTTGAGTTTGAATTCTGCTTCATCTTCAAATAAATAAAAAACCAGACACCTGCACATGGCCTGGTTAACCATGTACATGCAATTAGCACAAATTACACACACTTATAAAGCGTGTATAGCAATAGACACACAACCTACCCCTGTAGAGCATGGTCCAGTAAACTACAATTATTGACTACAATGCATGCTGTTTATTAAAAGCCTCAAAAAGGCAACAACTTTAATTCCATAACTGTAGCTTCCTAACTTACCCAGGGACCCGGGCATAATGATTTGTAAGTCTTGAAAAAATACTGACATCTGCTTTCTTCCTCTCCAAACTTCTTTATGCATCGATGATAGTCCACATAGTTCTGCCAGCAGTTCTTTGTCTGGTTGGTGTACGGGAATCTTGCATCAAATGGAGCCGTCTCCAGTTTAAAAGTCTTAGGGTCGAAGTGTTGTTCAATGTTTTCTGCCATAATCTTTATTTCACCTTTAAAATAAGTTTAAGTTCAAGACTGAGGTTAGAATTTTGCTTGGAAACAGCGATGAGGGCTACAGGGCTACACGTGATGCAATCAAGTTTTCAATAACTTCTCAAGAGACAACTAATGCTAGGACATGAAAGTAAAAGGCTGAAACCAATCTTTAGGTGTATATGGGAGAAGTTAAAAAAAAATTCACTCTCTAACATATATGAATGTTGCAGCACCCAGTCACCCTTACCACCACAGTTAGATAGATAGTACCAAGCAACTACAAACTTTTATTCTCCCCTTGGGTGCATACAAAATCTGCACAAGCTATTCCCTCTCCTTATCAAGCTGTCGGGTTTTCCCTCATAATTCACAGGCAGTCCTGGTTGGAAGGAGAACCACTACTACAGAAAATTGTCCTGCCTCAGTAAATAAAATGTTGAGCCCTGTCAGGACTCAAACCCAGCCAGTATGCTAACTATAAAACCTCTGCATCTCAGACACAGCAAAAGTAAAATGTCCAAATGGATGTCTTTTTAGCCAATATGAAAGAGAGAGCTCATGAGGTCATGTACAAATAGCCTCAAGTTTCACCAACAAGCTGTTCTCTAAGTTTTCCCACCAATACCGTAGCTCCATTTTCTTCATACACACAACCCATAATACCTCCATTTGCTTTCAGGAAGGGCTACTGGAACATTACACGCGAAACATCAGCTTAGAAACTCTTTATGGTGGTTAATATACTTAACCAACTCTGTTGATGAAATCCAAATATCTTGTTGTATTCCCCCATCAAAGCAGCACAATGGTTTCTTCAAAAACGTACCCCCTTCAATTCTCTTATAGGCTACATTCCAAGTATATCTAATAAACAAAGACTAACAAAGAGTTTTTAACTCTGGTTTCCCCATTGCATGGCCGTGATTGTCTTTTCTCATGTTCTGAAGACACCCAACACCTTTAAGAGTCTATGCTGACACTTCACTGCCAACTGAATTTGAGGAGGCTTTCTTTCATACACACTTCCCCTGCCTTCCTTTTCATTAACCTTTAACTCCCGAAGTGATTAAAATGTAACTTCTTCCTACAATATCCAAACATTATCGTACAAACAGGTAATGAGAATACTCAAGCTTATCAGGTAAAAGTTGTCTTGACCTAGCTCCAAATTCTTGTCACTAATTTACAAGGAAATATATAGCAGCCACAAGGGAGAATCAAAAAACAGATCTTGGGAGTTGAAGAGTTAAAGTAAAACCCATTCCCACCTACAGCACAGACTCAACCCAGTAGGTTGTAAGAGAAGGTTTAACAATGTTTTTTAAAAAAAGTCTAAAACTCATCTTGAGCTTACTGAGAAAGTCAACATAATAACAACCAATACCACAGGGGGCTCACACAAGCGGCGTGTCTGGTCGTTTTTTCCAAATATAAAGAAATGTATGGGAGAATATTGAAGAGTCGTAATATCGTAAACTTATATTGAGGAATGTCTATGTTAAGGCTCAAAATAAATGTAAACTTACCTCACTTGCCATGTATTGTCGTTTCTTGGGTTCTAAATGGTGAATTTTAGCCATTTGGTAAATTTTGCGTTGACTGTTACTCTACTGTATAAGAAGGAGACAAGGGTGGAAAGCTCATATTCGACCGCTCCACTTTCGAAGCCGATTTTCACCCAGAAATTAGAATCACCTGGCTTCCAAATAGAACACCAGATAAACCAAAAGGTTGACGCTTCTTCTCATGTCATTCAATCAAAGATCCATTTGAAATCCAAGCGCTAACTGCCAAAAAACTTTAGAGAAATGAAGCTTTCCAAGCGATCGGCATCCACGGCACAGATCTGGTGTGCCAGGGAGCAACCGTCATGCTGTTTGCTCCACGCTGATTGGATGATGGTAAACAATGCCCTGTTTCAAATGCCTCATGTGAGAGGGGAGTCAGGGGCATATTTGCGCCGGCAATTTATCTACTGACTAGCCCGGTGTGAGGTTTCTGGCATGTGAAGGAAATCCTACACGACCTCAAACCTCCTTGTTCGCGTAACCCGTCTTGGAGAAAGTTAATTTACCCTGTGATGTTTTGTAACCTTCAATTGTCATTTTTCTTTACGCAGAAAACATCACCAGTTCAACCTTCCTTCTCTTTACTGTTCAGCTCAATCTGTTATTCGAAAATAATCACAAGTATCTTCTCAGAGCTCACTGGGTTATGCGAACAAAGAGGTTTGAGGTCGTGTAGGGTTTCCATCACGCACCATAAACCTCACACCAGGCTAGTCAGTAGATGAATCGCCGGCACAAATATGCCCCTGACTCCCCTCTCACACGAGGCATTTGAAACAGGGCATTGTTTACCATCATCCAATCAGTGTGGAGCAAACAGTGTGATGGTTGCTCACTGGCACACCAAATCTGTGCTGCGGATGCCAATTGCTTGGAAAGCTTCATTTCTCTAAAGTTTTTTGGCGGTTAGCGCTTGGATTTTGAATGGATCTTTGATTGAATGACACGAGAAGAAACGTCAACCTTTTGGTTTATCTGATGTTCGATTTGGAAGCCAGGCGATTCTAATTCCTGGGTGAAAATTGGCTTCGAAAGTGGAGCAGTCGAAAATGAGCTTTCGACCCTTGTCTCCTTCTTATACAGTAAAGTAACAGTCAATGCAAAATCTACCAAATTGCTCAAATTCGCCATTTAGAACCCCACAAACAATAATACACGGCAAGTGACGTACGTTTACATTTATTTTGAGCCTTAACATAGACATTCCTCGATATAAGTTTACAATATTACGACTCTTCAATATTCTCCCATACATTTCTTTATATTTCGAACACACGACCAGACACGTCGCTCGTGTGGGCCCCCTGTGCCAATACTGTCAAATCATGGGAACTCTTTCACTTTATGTTCACAGTGACATTAGACTTCTTTGCGTGATAACTTAAGTTACAGAAACCGATGGATCATACCAAAGTGTATGAACACTGTACTTTAACTAGAAAAGAACAGTTGATCTAAATGGAGTGGTGTCTATTTGAAGAGTTATCATGCCTTTCCTGATATGACTTGGTATGGCGTTAACGTCAGAAGCGTGACCGAAACTTCGTAAGACATTGTTATCAAATGAGAGTGATATGCCTTAGGGTACGATAAGTGTAATACTTGAGTACTATTGGTGCTGTTTTTTTAAATTTGTACTTCTATGGTTTTGCGATACAGTGAAATATTGCAGTCATGCAATTCATTTTAAGAAATTTGTTACTGCTGTTATTTCAAACAAACAACGCTCCATAAACCTCCGAAAACTTGATCATACGACTAAAAAACTTACAGAAGGCCATTTAATTAGTTTACGACCAATAAATTTTACTTACTGTTCCCAAAAAGCAGAGACAAAGTAAGTAAGAGATGTACAATCACAAGCCGGGTTGCCTTTTCCCGTCCAATACCGCAATCAAAGATGGCGGAGTGGTCTTGTAAAATTGTCTCAATTATTGTTGGACCCTCTAGGGAAATTTTACCCATAGTGCATCACAGCACGCGCGTCCGTCATTTTGTCATAACCTCTATTGTGACGTGATGTGAGCAGAGTGGGTCCTTCGTAAATCTAGGGAAAAATTAAAGGGACTTTCTTGCATTTTTCTAAACGTATGACAAAATCTAAAGGGATGATATCAAGTTGGAACGCGAAGGAGTTAGCTGCTGCCGCAAATTGGTGAGAAACGATGTCTTAATATTGGATTGTAATTGAAATGCTTTGCATGGGTGGATGAATATTTCACAGTCCTTTGTTTTCATTCTTGAATCATTACCCTTCAAGTGATTAGAGACAGATCTGGCCATGTTTCTGTGATGTTTTCTGTCCCATCCATCGCTTCTGGTTCAGTACTTGAGCTTACGAAACTCTTTCTTGTTCTATTGACTAATCCTTTCAATATATGATAATTTCCATTTTGCTCAGACATCTTAAAATAATAAATTGACAACCATCGTAATTTCCGCTTTTCCAAATATACCTAAGATTGTGAAAATGAAAAAAAGTGGCTCGGTTTACATCAGATACAGAAAATGGGATTTTTAATTCACTATCTTGATCACTGAAATGTATTCTCAGAATTTCCTCTGGACTACTTTGTAGTCTCAAAGATTATTCATTCCTAACTGTGACCATGGAAATTTTTCAACGGCTCTTGTCGCATGGTGATGAATTTTATGGGATACAGATTGAGTTTTTTTTTTTTAGTGAAGAGGTATCAAGGAATTAGTCCAAGTAAACAATATTAAAGATGTACTCTGAGCACAAACAAACCCTTAACTTGTCACCATCATTATGTCTTTGTGTCAAGTGATCCTTTCAGTTTTATTTAAACAGCTTAGTAAGTTGTGAAAAATAGATATTGAAAGAACAATTTCATCTCCTCTAGCAAACTTTGGAGTCTGCAATTTTGCTGGTCTCGATATCTGTTTGTAGGACTGGTTTGTGAGAGATTGTGTTTTGTTGAAGGATCTTGTGAAGTAAGGCAGTTGTCTTTGTCAGGGTTGAGGAATTAACATTTTCTATTAAAATAATCAGCTGATGTCTCAGAATGCCCTTTGAACTTTCTTCTTTGCAATTACTATGAAAAATTCCTAGGATTTGATTGTGGGTCATGTACAGAATGGATTTGCAGAGTACATGCATAGACTTTACTGAGCATCCCTGAAGAGGTTTTTCAACATCAGTATTGAATACAAAAAGTAGATAACAGAAGAATATGAACAATTTTTGACAATTGTACATCCAAACTTAATTAGATGTTTCTTTAAAACTTTGATGTCTTTTATTACATCAGTCCTTGTTTAGGCTGTTCCACAGTTATGATACGACAGTAATGAAAGGCACACTGACTGGCAGCAACTCTACAAGATTCTTGTCTGTCTATAGTTGAAAGCAGATCAAGTACAAAATTTTTTTTGATAAAGAGCTGGGAGATAGACCATCAAGGCATCAATACATCACATCCTAACCCAAGAGTATTCTGAGATGGAATTATTCCGCAAGCGTTGCTGTGCTAACCAAATATCACTTTTTTCAGGTCTAGACAATATCAACCAGCAGCACCAGGTAACAGTAATGAAAATCACGAGGATGCAGAGTCAAATGAGGGATCAAAACAGTCAGAGACACCAGAATGGGAAAGAGCAAGGCAAGCGTTAGCCAAAGTGAACCCACAGATTTCTAACTCACTAGTGAAGTCTTCACCCAAAGCTAACAATAGCAATCCTGGTGCTATGACTTCCTCGATTCAGCAGCAGCCAATGATGTACCAACAGTACTATCAACAGTATTACCCACCATGGAGTGGCTACAACTATCAGTACCCCTATCCTGGGTACTTACCAGCTTACCCTATGCCCCCTTCACAACCAAGTGTACCTCCACCTCCAGTATGTATTTTTGTGCATGTTTGTGCTGCAGTGAATTTTCAGTGATAGCAAAAGTGATGAGGTTTTTTGGTAATCTGTACATGAAATTAACCAAGTTTAGACAAGACTGTGATCTTTTATTGGAAACAAAAAACTGTACGTGTAGAACCATTTTTTTAAATCATGGCTATTTTGCTTTGCTAGTAGTACTCTAGCTTTGGAATTTTACATGCGATGTAATCTTTTGTACAGTTAATTTTTGATCAAGCACAGGCACCAAATTAGGCCAGCTGCAATATAGTCTTTGTTTAATTTTGTCCTTAATCAGCTTTGTGTGAATGTATGAAAACACCAGCACTTGGTCTAATTTAATGTTTAATTCTTTTTTTCTTTTAGCCCTACCAACCATCACCTCCTTCAGTACTGTCATCAACAGCAAGCAGCGTAAACTCAACTGAGAACATAAACACAACACCAACTGAACAAACAAGTGACCAGAACACCTTAAATGAGCATAAAAAACCCAGTACTTATCAGCCAAGACAGCCTTGGCAAGCTAGAAATCAGCATCATCCTCCATTTTCACATCAAAATGAAAAGGTGAATTAGAATTCCATGTAATTTTGTTTTCAATAAAAGAAATGGTGTCAAGGTACCAAATACAGAATTAAAAATGAAATGGTGTAAAAGTGGTAAAAGTTTTCCCCTTGGACATTGCTTGCTTCACTCAGTAATGCTTTGACTTATATGAGGACACTATGGAGCCAGATTGCTCCTTGTGGTTTTTCTTTGTTTGTGCCTTTTAGATCTTAATTTCTTTTTTCAGCCATATCATTTACATTTCTTTGTGTTGTAATGTTCTAATTTCATCTTTGTCGCCACTTTTAGGTCATTATGATTTTATCTTTTAAAATAGTCTTTATCCTGAGACCACTTTTCAACACAACTTTCCTTGATTTCAATCTAAATTTTGATATCTAGGAGGAAAATGACAGAGAACAAGGAAGCAGGCATACTTTTGTACCCCGGCAGCAACGTAGTTCTCATGCTGATGCTTTGAAGCAGCAAAATGATGAGAACAGCAACAGAGAGCAGGGAAGCAGGCATACTTTTGTGCCACAGCAACAACGAACTTCCTATGCTGATGCTTTGAAGAATCAAAATGATGAAAACAGCAACAATAATAGACAGCCATTTTGGAAACAGTCTAATCAGCAAAAGTGGAACCCAGGCTAGTAAACTCCATTACCTCTTAAAGTGCCCCTGAGATGAAAATTGACCGTTTTATTTTGGGCAAATTTTTTTACATGTTGAATTGGGTCAAGTTAAAACCCTTTTTGCCATTAAAAACTCAAAATAAACCTTCGATGACCAATTTTTACTGCTTCAAAGTCATCCAAAAATGGTCTGCCATTCCTGAAAACATGTTCCAGCCAAGCCCGCAATTGTACAGCAGAAAATGACATCAAAGACTCAACAAACTTATGCTTTGCTTTGTCACAACTCTCTTTGTTTGCTGCAAAGAGAATCACACATATATCTTTTTTGACAACTGTTTCATTGTCAGTCGTGAAATTTTGACTTTGTCTGATGATGAGTTGTCCCAGAAATCATCTAAAGCTTCTGTGGATAGTTTTGCGCCGGCAAACAATGAATTTTTCCCATGCGAATAAAGATAAATACAGAACGGCTTTTGTGGTCGCATCGCTTTATCACCTTTGAATTGTAGTTTTGCTTGTTGTGAGGGATTTTCCTTTTTTGCAAGAAATGATTGAGTGATACATAAAAATTGTTTTTGGCATTGGCTGATTGTGTACCAAGGCGGATTTTAGGAGTTTCTGAAAGCCATTTCAAAGCCATTAATGTGTTTGCCCTGATGCATGTGGTCAATTATCTCATTAACCCTTTCCTGCTTGTTTTTAACCATCTGTGATTTGAGAGATTTGAGGCGAACTCTGTTGTTGAGTTGCACTTTGGCCTCTTTTGTTTTTTCTGTCTTGTTCATGATAACTATTGTTGTGTTGCTTCGGTGAGGTTTAAAGCAGAGTTTGTTTCAACCCTTTTAGAGCCATGACTTCATTGCGTTACAAAGTATTTTTTTGGCTTAGATACAGTCTGCAAGTTGTGTTATGACAATTTTCCAAGTAGCTCTGAAGGGCGATAGAAGACTGAACTGGTGGCGTTCAGTTTGATATAAAACGGAAGTGGTTCTTTGTTTTGTCTGTGAAAGGTGTAACGGAGGCCCATTCGTCTTGCAAATAAATCTCTCCAAAGGTGGCCTGATTTCACATTCGTTTGTCACGGGTGTTGGGATGAATTTAAGACCCTTCGATAGCATGCTGACTTGGCTGTCAGATGGTTAATAGTTTGAGAGGTTTTTTAAGAAATTTTCATTTTCTCAGTTTTTTGGCTGCAAGCCTACATTTTAAAGTGTTTCTATGCTCTATTTATCTTAAGCTGTTTGTTCTATTTTCGCTGATATTAAAGCCAGCTTTTTTTAGAGTCAGAGCACACAATTATATTTTTCATCTCTTTTGTATAAAAGTGAGCTCTTTGAGGTCAGAAATCTCATTCCTCAATTCCGCTATTTTATCATTCTTATTTACAATGTTCACCAAGTACTTTCCTTTGTGTTAGGTATTCTGCCAGAGAGTTGTTAAAGGTGGATATTGATCAGCGCATATGTAAAGGTGACAAAACCTGTGGAGGTTCATAGACTTTACTTTCGTCGAGATCACACTGAGGACGGTTTTTCTTGTCCCTTCTTTTGAATGGTAGGCACTGAACCCAACAGAATTCTTTGCCAAGATCCTTTGAAGTACACAGATGTCTCGAAACAGTCCTCCGAGAAGTGTTTGGAGTAGATCACAAATATCCCTGCAGGATTTAAGTTTACTCGGCGAGTTCGCACAAATCGCATCCGTTTTTCCCGTTCTGATCTATTTGCAAGTCTCCAATGCAGAGAAATACCTGCAGCATAGTCTGCACAATTACTTCAGCTTTGAATTACGCATCGATGCCTCGTAATTTTTGTTTAGTTTTTGTAAGAATAGAGTAAAGCACTCTGTTATGTTTACTTGACATTTTGCCATGTGAGATTTTCGCATTGAGCCTTTGACATCACTTCCTCTAAGTCCTGCGATCAACTTCCGGAACATGGTCAAATAATGGCGGACGCAAAATCATGAATTTAACGGCCCAAAAAAATATTTTTCTGGTGTTCGGTCTAGACTGAAATTTGGCAGAGTAGGTGAAGGAGACACATTGAACACGAAAATGAAAAAAATTATGTCCGAAAATTTTGATCTCAGGGGCACTCTAAGACTTACATAGGTATATCCCTGATTGTGCAACAATACGCACTTTCATGTTAGAACTGAAGAATATACCCACCCAAGTAAAGCTTAGCTGATCAAGTCAAGTGGAAACTCTTATAGAGATTGGCATTAAAAACGACACATAGATTACACAACTATTGTAGCAAAATTAATAACCTCTTACCAGAAATCAAAAGTGTTGGGTTGTCGTTTAATTTTACAATATCATTTTCTTGACTTGGACAGTGATGGAATTTGAGTGCAAGTCATAGATAGTCCTAGAGATTGGTAAAAAATTAGAGTCCTAACAACAACAGAGCTGTGTTGAATGATTGTCCTATTGGTCTTCGTTCATTGAACGTTTTTAAGAAAGTCCTGTATAAGGTTTTGAAAAATAATGGATTATCATCATCTAAAATAAGTCTTAACCCTGAAAATACTTGATTTGGAAATTTCAAATTTGTACATATAAGTTACAAACTATACACATATCTTTTTGGGAAAGGTAATGTTGTTTCTATCATTTTACCCCACAGGTGGAAGTTTAAATAATAATAGCTTTTCTTCACCAAATACAAAGAAGTTTAGACCATCAGTTGAGAGAAGGGAAAGTCTTTCACAAGATGAACACTCGAGACCTTCACCTTGGACAGAGCCAACAAAACCAAGAAGTCCAGGAAGGAAGCAGCAACGGCAGCAACAACAAGAGCAGCAGCACTTGAGAAAACCAGAGAGAGAAAAATCTCCACCTAAAGAGGATACAAGGTTAGTTAGGCTTGTACTGTATGTTGCCACTGATTTCAAGTAGAACTCGTGACAGGACACCTTACTGTAGTTTGCCTCTTGTATAACATGTTTATTTACTTTTCTAGAGATGAAGCTTCACTTCCAGCACAAAAGTGGCCACCAAGTTTAAGGTAAACTCTGATGTTGTTTTGTTCCAAGGGGGACTTTAAGAAGCAATGTAATCAAAAGTGATGGCTTGCAGTAGTCAAACGCTGTAAATTTCCTTCCACTGTGCTATTGTTTACTAATTATGATTAGCAGTTGAGTGATGCATGGAAAAAGTTGGATGACAGGGTTTGACTGTAAAATGAGGGTGTTGTCCTGGGTAACATTCATTTCCAGTGATAACCAAATCTAAAGAGCCATGCATTACCAAAAAAAAGGAAAAAATTTTGCCACTGGAAACAGAGCCGGCTACCCGTGACAACAGCACAATTTTAACAGGTTGCCAAACCTCCATTGCACCCCATTCAATTGAAAATTGCAGTAACCCTTTATACTAACTCAGTCTTGGGCACATGATACATGTAGCCTGGCATCTTATAAAATAGCCAGGATTTTTTGGAGTCATTAAACCTGATAATACACAAACTTGATAATTATGTAGAAATTCACTTATAGAAATTTCCTTTCTGCACTCTTTCAAAACTCAATCAAACTTAAGGAAAGTCTTAAATCTCAATGGAACTGAAAAGTACTGTGATATTTCCTTTTAGGGACTATGTGCAGAGAGCATTTGAGAAGTGCGAAACAGAATCTGATAAAGATCAAACAGAACAGTTCCTGAAGAATATGCTGGCTTCAGCCTTCAGAAATGGCACTGCTTGGGTAGTTGACTGGAACAAAGAACCTTTGCCTAGGTTTGTGATATATTTGAAATGGACTTTCTGGTTTTTGTTGAGTTCTTGTTTTCCCTGGATAAAATAACCAGTGCACATACTGCATTCAGTGGATTTGCATTTTTTGGTCCATAAAGTTACCATATGAAAATCTTTCCTTTCTGACTGCGATACCTGAGAATGGAATGTACTTGTGCTTGGAATAGCCAACTTCTCTTTTTTTAGCAAGAATTGTCACTTTTTTTTTCTTGTTTTCAAACAATTTAACAGTCTGAGAAGGTCACCCCCAGAGGGTAAAAAGCTCCCTAGATGGCATCCTTCAAGGAGGAGGTCACCACCTACCACTCGGAGAGAAAGAAGAAGAGAAAGGAGCAGGAGTTTATCACCTTCAAGAAGTGGCAGTAGGAGTAGGAGCAGGAGCAGGAGCAGGAGCAGCAGTAGGAGTAGAAGTAGAAGTGTTAGTCCTGATAGCAAAACAAGGTTGAAAGGATTTGATCCTAAACGACTTGGAAAGAAATTGCCTAAAACTAAGGGAAAGGGAGGAAAAGCTCAGAAGGGGAAGAAGAATGCAAAAGGGTGAGTAAAATGAAAAGAACAAAAAAAACAAATTTCAATATCCTATTCCTGTGGGCATTAGGTACTGTAGTCCTGCCACTGACGGACAGGACTGCCTTGTACACGAAGCAGCTCATGACAACTGTTTTGCACCTGTATGTTGCAGGCCACAAATAGCAAATTACAATGCTACTGCTGACCCTAAAGCTCAAGAAAAGATACAAAAACGGGCAGAGAGATTCAAGTCGACTTTAGCTCCTCAACAAGCCACACCAACTCGTATTTTAAACACCATCCATTCTTTGGTGAGAGATGCTTTACATTCCTTTTATTTAATATCTTGAAGTACATGTACAATGCAGCTCAAGATAGGGAGACAAAACTATTGGAATCAAAAGCACCTTGACAGACAAGCATATGTCTATATAGATAATCTCAAACCCATTTGTGTAAGTATTGATGTGCAAGGCAGTTGTTTTCTTTGTTGTTTAATGGCACTGTAATGTACTAAAAACTGGTGGTTAAGCTGCATTTAAAATGTCCATGAATTGTCTTGAGTTTATTTTTGGTTGTTTGTTTGTTTGTTTGTTGACCACTGTGCTCCTGATAACTTTATAAAGTTTCCCCTGACTGGAAAATTTCCATTAGGGTTTGCTTGCCGAGGAATTATGCAGTTCTGTAGGGTGCATCGTACTTTAAAGAAAGGAGAATGTATTTAGAAACAGATTATTTTGTGCCTAACAACACCTAAGATACTATTCTCTTAGCATTCTCTCTTGTACATGTGAGGGGCTTTTCCTTGTTCAGCTATGATCTACATTTGTTCGTTTGTGCCTACCAGAAGAGTTTGTTTTTTATTCATTTGTTTTTTATTTCAATTTTAGTCGTTTGGTGAAGATGGTGAAGAAATGGATTGGAGCAAATACCACACAGTTGGAACATGTGAAGACTTAGAAAAACCCTACCTCAGGCTTACTTCGGTGAGTTTTATCTCAAACTAAGGTGCACCATTTAATCTACAGTTGTCTCTCTGTTCTAAATTTTCGTTATTTAAACCCAATTGAAAATATGATTGATTTTTGAAATGTTATTCTGACAGACAGTCCATGAGTAGGCATAAATTTGATGTAACAGTTTAACCACACGATAACCACTACCTATTTTTGACAACTGTGCATTGAAAAAGAAATCTCTCTCTTCTTAGGAATGATATACTTTTACATTTACCCGGTGCCCTGTCTGGTAGAATCATGGATGATTTTTTTTTCAGAGCTATAGTAATTTAACTGCAGTTACAATTTATAACTATTGTACTAGTTTGTATTTCTGTGAATGGCATATGAAACTTGCTATATTTTTGTCTTTGAGATCTCTTTAAAGCCTTACACTCCAAAGGTCAAAACATTAATTTATTGCACTGTCTGTATCCCTTTTCCAATAAAGTTTGCTCTGGGGATTTGTTGCCAAATTGAACAGTATCCCCTCATTGTTATTTTCCCTTCTCATGAGTATTGTACTTGAAAATGTATCGATCCTGGAAAGAGACATTCCATTTTGGTCTCTCTTGGGATTGTAAGGGTGAACTACTATCTTTCAGCCAGTTTATATTTTACTTCTTAATTATTATTGAAGTTTTCAGGGAAATGATGTATCATACACATATAAACATTCTTAGTATCTTGGATTATCTGAAATCAGACTTTCTAACCTCATTTCTTTACAGGCACCAGACCCCTCCACTGTCCGTCCAGTTGAAGTACTTGGCAAATCTATGGAAATGATAAAAAGCCATTGGAAAGAAAAGCAAGACTACACTTATGTTTGTGAGCAACTCAAGTCTGTCCGTCAGGATCTGACTGTAAGTACATTTGAGATGTGTTCTGAATTGAATTATCGTCCAGAGAGAGTGACCTTTTTTTAAATTATCTGTGATAGGTGCAAGGGATTAGAGATGCCTTCACCGTAAAAGTCTATGAAACTCATGCTAGGATAGCCTTAGAGAAGGTAAGGATTTGCTGTGTGAGATGAATTCATTGAACATCGCTAACGGGCTCTGTTAACATACATTGATCAGTTCTTTAGATTTACATCTGATGGGGAGCTTTCTATTACAAAAAGTGTTCTAGTCAATGTTACTTGAACTACTGTAAAGTTCATCGTTCCACGTAAGGAAAAGGAATGGTTACATACAGTCATATTAAAGCAGCCATAAAGTACAGTTTTGTGGGTGACATTCTGAATACTTAGATTTTAAATTGAAAGGTAACATAATAAATTTATTGCAAACGAATGCTAATTTATGTGATTCGGGTGTTAACTATATATTTTACCCTTTAGGGAGATAGAGAGGAGTTCAACCAGTGTCAGACACAGCTCAAAGCCTTGTATGCTGAAAATTTGCCGGGAAATGTTGTAGAGTTTACTGCCTATAGACTGCTTTATTATATTCTCACCAAAAATACTCTGGGTATCCTTGATTTTACATATAAAATTATTCTTATTTCATGGAGGGTATGAATCGTAGTGTTTGCCAACAGATTGGCTTGCGTCGCTGTTATCTCGTGTGAATGCAAAAGGCGGCATTGTAAGCTTGCATTTGTCCACTAAGGTGCTGCTCGTGACTTGAAATGAAACTGGAGCAGGGAATAGGAAGGGTGGAAGATGAAAGGCAAAAAGATACCTTCCACAGAGAAAACGTGTAGCATGAAGCACTGGTTAACTTGCCGCACAATTTCAAGGCTAGTTTTTTGTAACTTGAAGTTGGTTCCCATATTACAAATTTGAAATGCTTAGAATCAGAAATCCAAACGGCTACGTTGAGACTCGAGAGCAAAGGTATAGGCCCTAAAATTGCATTAGCAGACAGCAAAGTGGACCTCCTATAATTTTGGAATTCCTTCCAGGAAGATTAGTAATATTTCTACGTAGCTTCCTGCTCTAGGTTTGTAATTACATTAAATTGAGTGAAGAGACATCTTCCTTGACTGTAGGTCTCAGATCTGACAACAGCCTTGGCTCATCTAACAAAAGAAGAGAAAGCGGACCCGGCAATAAAACACGCATTATTAATACGTTCAGCTTGGGCTCTGTCTAATTATCACACTTTTTTCCAGCTCTACTTGAATGCACCCAACATGTCGGGCTATCTATTAGATCTCTTTGTACAGCGCGAGAGAGTCCAAGCTCTGAAGGCCATGATCAAATCGTGGGTTGTTTTTGTGTGTTATTTTCTGGGACATTGGCGATCGGTTCATTGGTCAATTTTTGACTTTAAAATTTACAATTTGTTTTTTTTTTTAGGAGAAACTTATATTCAGTTAAAAAGTGAAAATGGTCATTTACCACTGGCTGCAGTCCTTGTCTAGTAATTTGAGAGGAGAAGCTAAAATGAACCGATCATCAATCTCATGTCCCAGATATTTTAGAGCAATTTTTTTCTGACTTTGACGTTCCTTGAGCGGTTGTTCAAACCTCTACACATTGTCCTTTTGACTTGTTAACTTGAGAAGTATGCTTTTAGCCCGTTTTTTTTTTTTTTTCTAGTCTCGTAGTTCAAGTCCTAAAAGGTTGCTCTAAGATAATGCATGATATGTGATTGTCTGTGTGTATCGTAGTTGTGTCATCTTTGTTTCTGTGGTCGCCATCTGGTTATATTTGTGCCTTCTTACTGGAATTCTATGGATTATTATATGTTACTTTGAGTTCAATATTTTTGTTTGCAAGGCCTAGCTGCTAAATTAGTAATGACAAACTTTCACAAATTCTCACTGCACTGTGGCCATATAATTTTTCCATGGTTTTCTTGCTATGCTTTTATCCTTTAGGCGTTGTTGCAAGGAGAAGTATTTACCTATTTACTTCAAGAGTTTTTTTTTTCTCGATTTCATCGTTCTATCCCATTAAAGCGTGTTTTTCACGTGTCTTTCATACTTTGCCTTATCAAAGAGAGGGGAATTGGAGAAATTATTTCTGGAATTGGTGGGATGTGAAAGTTGGCTCATAAAAGTGCTGTAAAGCAGGGACATTGTATGTTTTTAGTTATTGAAATGATGTTCTAACTTGTTATTTTACTTTCTTTGTTCCCCTTTGCTATCCTTTTCCTGTCTTCTGCTGTGCTGTGTGTGCTTCAGATACCGTCCCACAATACCTGCCTCCTTCGTTGAATCCGAGTTAGGTTTCATTGAAGAAGGAGAGTGTCTCAAGTTCTTACAAGATCTAGGCGTTGTCCTCACCGCAGATGAAACCAAGGTCGACTGCAAGCTCTCCCAGGGAGTCCTGACAGCGAGCTGACCCGTCCTGTTCCGCGCCAACTCGTCCCGTCAAGTCTTGGATTAGTTAGGAAAAAGCAAATTTGATTTTTAGGCGAATATGCAGTAGGCACTCTATAAATTTAAGCCCACTTCATATTTGCCACCAGGTGTTTCTGTTGGTATAGGAAAATGTAGGTTTTCTTTTAACTTAATTATTCTGTAAATCTTTCAAGAATTCCGTGAGAACTCGCTGAAAGCTTTGAAGCGAGTATATTGATTAACACATCATCCGTAAGTATTGTATCGTAGTATTTGCTGGCTGTCCAGTATGTCAAGAGATTGGTTACGTACCGTGTGTGCAGGTTGCTGATGTTGCTGTTCCCTGACTGCACTCGTTTGTCAGACTTTGTCTCTTTCAGGCCACAACAAGCAAGACTGGAAATAATCTACCTCAAGACTGGTCTGTATATCAAGTTCAAGAAAATTAATTATTCAAAAGATGTGTATTTATAAACTGTTTCTTAAATAAATATGAGGTTTGTACGTATCAGCTGTAACCACTCTTCTCCTTCTCTTGTTTTAATCTTGAATACGCTGCTTTTTTTTTCTTTCCTTCATGGGCAGTGCGATGAATGCGCAGGTTTGAAAAGTTCAGTTCCATTAGGTAGATCACGGTTTTAAGGCGCAGCACACATAAGCAGCTTCAAACTCAACAGGAGAGATGGCTTGCTCTTCATTAAAATATCAGTGTCATTTTTATTATTAGAGAAGTCGGAAAGGGTTGTCCTACTCGATTTTTCTCTTTCTTTCTGAACATCACGCAACCTTCTTTTCGCCGAAAGCTTATTTCCTTAAGCAATGGAACTAATACCATTGTTCATTTTCCCCAATTGAACATGGGACGCAGGGAGAGGGAAGAAGGCTTTTATTAGAATTAAAAACATGCCTTTGAACAAAATCGCTCCCAATTTAAAAAGGGTTTCGACTTAGGTTTCTCATTGTAACGTATTATTTTGGAGCGTGCGGTATGCTCACGGTTCAACTCGATTAGTTACAAAAAGGCATGATAAAACATGTTCCACACAAATGAGCTTGGCGCGGCTGTATATACCCTGTTTTAGTTTCCTAGAAGCTCATTGAGAAAACAATACCATATTGCCCTTTCAGTTGATACCTCGACGTCAGTGTGATGTTCAAACTTAATTACTTATGCAACAGCCACAGCGCGCGCTCTGATTGGTCAATTTAACGTCCGCCTTTTGCCCATGGGTGTACGCTGCTGACGGGAGCGAATGCAAAGACCATTTTTCCGCGGGCGCTTGTTTTTTCTGGTCACGTAAGATTTGTTAAAATAAAAGGGAACTCTTTAGCTACAATGTATCAATGTTATGTTATATTATAAAACAAATGGTAAACACCACAGCGTACACTATTGAGTTATGGATGCACTTGGGAGGTTTGCTAAGCACTCAAGAGGCTAGAGTCGCTCTCGGCTATCGCCTCGAGCGACTCTTACGCTTCTTTCGTGCTTAGCAACCTCCCGCGTGCATCCATAACTCAATAGTGTACGCTGTGGTGTTTACCATTTGTTAAAGACTAACTCTATGCATAGCGACCACTTCGATCACCGCGCGACAAAATTCACCAATTCTTGATGCCTTTATTTCGCTCAAGTCAACTGACAACTTTCTCAGTGATACTTGATGTTTCCGTGCAACGAACTCATAGCCACCATACCCCGCCGGATTTGTTCCTTTTTTACTGAAGTTGAATTTTTGGTTTTGTTTTTCATTGACATATATTAACTGTGTTAAGGATTTAATTGCTACAACAAGCCTGAGCTCTCCTCGCTATAATGGATACCTACGGTGGCCGTAGTGGGGGATCAATATTTCCTGTTCAAGTAACCCTGTTTCCGTAATAAGGCCCCCATGAGTTGACGGAACTTTTCATAATAGTAATCAAACCCGAGAATCGAAAATTAATGCTTGGTCATCGGAAAGATAACATGACCCCCAAAAATTAATGGTACTTAAGGTTTGCGGTGAAAATTTGCTTAGTCATGGGTACGTGCCTATGAAAATAGTATCACTTTCCTCTGCCAGCGAAGGAACGTAAAGAAAAAATACTGCTACGCCGTTTTGAATATATATTAAGTCTGTGGGTAGATTAACAAAGAGTCGTGGAAGCCTGTTTTGATCAGTTGAGATAAGTAGTGGCAGAGGGTCGAGGGGTACATGCGAATTTGATGCATGAAGTCTGGCAACAATCATCGACACTTCAACTTACAATAGCTACGATTACACTGTTAACAGGAGACGTTCTCTCCTGCTCAACTTATTACTTGCTGGGCGGGAGGTCTTGAAAATTATTACACGGGGAGCTAACTTCCGTCAACACGGGTTAGTTCCCCTAAAAACGTGACTAATCCGGAAAATCGGCATTTTGTGATCCACTGAATTAGTGGTGAAACTTGCAGTTTATACGCTAAAAAGTTGTTTTGTAAATTTGTGAGCACAACTTCGAGTGAACAATATTATATTTAAGATTAAAAGCAGTTGATGCTTCTTACATTTCCAGTGAATGTTAAAGAGATTCATTGACAAACAGCGGGTAGACTTCGCTGGAAACGATGCGAAAAGTTCCTGACGTCACCGTTTACCCCGAGGTATGAGTGGACTGAGCCTAGTTCAAGCCAGGTTTACAACCACCTGACATACCTTTTGTTTCCGGTGACGAACTGTTACAAACGGCTTGGACACTTATAATTTCCACATACTGAACCATCTGGTTGGAAATTTAAGCGTAAACAATCTGTGACTTAATAAGTTTTACTTAGAAAAAATAGCGTAAAATGGAAGATAAAGAATTTAGCATACATTAACTGATGAGATTGTTCAAAAATCACTGATGTAGATAGTACAACTAAACCCATGGCTCAAAACTTACACAACTTTCCATTTCACAATATCCTTGATTTCGCGGCCTCTTTATTTGGAGGCAATTTTAAGAGGGGTGTTTCGCAAGACTTTGTCGTGATTTTCGTAATAAACTCGCAAAACTAGAAAAGACTAGACGCACACGGCCGTCAGCTGTGCTCCAGCAATAACTTGACTCTTTTTAAATGTAGGACAAAACGATTTCAAATAAGTTTTTTTTCCCGCAACTGACGTCGAAGCTTAATGAATTATCGCAATAGACTTATATCACATTTGTAATAATTTGTTAATAGAATCTTGTGAGCCGGTAACCCAGTCACCCGGCAAAATTTTTATTTATACCGTCTCATTTAATTTGTAAATATTTTTTGTAATTTCTTGTAAATATGAAGTATTTCATTTTAGTGCCGAATTCATATCTAATAAACCACCACCATTACCGCCAACTTTAATGGAGTCCACATTATACTAAGTATTTTAAAATAATTGAGATACAGCGAGTGTCCTCACTGGTTTAAAACCCATCGTTTTAATTCAACCCCACAGATAATTTCAGTTTACTTGATAAAATTTAATAGCTCGCATTTTCTATCGGTTTACCGGCGTAATAACCCACTTGAGACTTGTGGGATGTTGGGAGAACACTCCAAGAGTTTGGAAATTACGAGCCGGAGGATTATTACGCCGATAAATCGATAGAAAGTGCGGTCTAATGTTTACGATTTACATTATTTGGCTCATTTTAATGTTATGACGAAACTGTCTAGCGTCAGAATACAAATGTGCATTATTAGGTGATAGAGCCCTTGTCATGTCACCCATCTAAGTAAAGACTTCGTTTTTACATACACCTTAGCCGTTATGAAATTTGTGTGTTACGTAACCGAAAAAGTAACTTTCACGCCACGGAGTTTCTTGATGAACCAATCTAAGTACGGTACCCCGTTTAAAGGCATGCAAGGGAAAAAACTGTAACAAACCAACAGTATTCACGATTTGACCAAAGTACGTTTGGCATCCACACGTGTAAGTTCTCCGAGAAAAGGTCTTACGCGATTACCCAAGAGGATGAATTTTCTCCTAACTGAGTTTTGTTTCGTTGAGGTAACAATGATTTTCATTTTACCGTTTAGAGACCTATATGGTAAGCACCGCACGTGGACTTAAGGCGCTGGTGCGGTTGAGGCTAGGTGAGGCTGGACTATGACTGACGAAAAGTCTGGTTCTTGCGCCGTTCTTTGACTCTCGCAGTGCTCTTACACACATAGAGTATCTTTCGATACATGTTAAGCCTAAGGTAAACAAATGCTAAGGGGATAATCGAGCGCGATTTACTGTAGAATCCTATCTAGAGGAGGTAGCGATGTACTCAGTCACCTCAACCATGCTTCATTAAAACCGAGATACTATCAAGCTTGCAATGAGAGAGAATTTCACTTTGCGCATTTTTTACAAAGCAAGGCGAATGTTTCAAAATCGAACGTTCTCAACACAGCAGATCACAATAACCGATTTCCTTCGTGTAACCGCTCCTTCGCGAAATAGATGGGGTCCTTGAAACTACAACAGATCATGCAAACATTTCAAGCAAGAAACTGAAGAATGTGTCGATAAAACCTTTCTCAAAAACAAGCCAGGCTCGTTCATAACATCGTAAGACGTGAAACCGTGTGCGTAATCGCCTTCCCAATCGGCCTTTGGGATGTCTCAGAACGCTGCGTGACATTTCAAGGAACACGCGTTACGTCATAAATTTTGTTCTGGGAACTGACGTGAGCTACAATGCACGTGCCGTTAGTTTGGTCACGAGACACGGACCTTGGTTTTACTCATGAGCTCACGCGATTACCAGACCGATCTGAAAAAAAAAAAAACATAATGATTATAAAACTTTTCCAGAAATGTTAAGATTTAAACAACCATGGCCATGGAGTAATGGCAAAAGAGGCTACGGACTAGACGAGATGTCTAATGAGAGGGTTTGCGCACTATAAAGGACAGAAAAACGTGAATTTGTTTTGCTTTTTTGTTGGGAAGCTTAAATTGATTGGCTCCTTCATCGTTACGTGTTTGCCAGTCGTGGACTCCAAGGGTATTCAACAAAGTTTTCGACGGTGATGTTCCCCCGGTGGTTAGAATACTTGCGTCGTGACATCTCTGTTATCACCCTTTTTCACTTACCTACTTCATCCCTTTATACATCCCTTGCGACCTTAATTGCAAACTTCAAGTGAGAGCAGCCCCGTTTTGTCCATCATAAAGCGCACCCTCTTTAAACGGGATGGGAGAGGTTTGCAATATTATAAGTGCGGAGATCCTCTAATTTAACAGTTATTCACACTTTTGTGTCATCAGCGCCATTATAATTTTGATAAACAACTAGCTTAGTCTATAAACAGTCCACGTGTCGTGCACGTGTGTTTTTAATGTTTAGCGGCGGTAGTTTTTCATGCACGTACTACTTCGTTTTGATCATGGTCGTCTACCTGAAAAACCTGTTTTTTTTACCTTGAATTATTTCACTACGAGTCATCAGAACTGTATTTTTTCAGTAAAGCTCAAGCTGAGCGTCCTGACAGGACAAATAACTTGTAATAACAACATCATTCAATGATACAAACGACATGGCGTGTGTGGCGGTTTTTAGGTTATCGATTCATTAACAGTTTTGGCAACATGAACTTTGATAAATAAAGCAAATGTTATCATTATTGTTTGTGTATTTCAAATTTTCCTAAAAATGTATGGATTTTGAACCCTGGATGTCTGCATTTTTTCTCCCATTTTACTCTCTGGGTGGCTTTTCAATATCTACCTTTCAGAGTGCCTCTTCAATTATTGTTTGCTGACTCATTTTAGACGGAACTCATATGATCTTGTGTGAATTCACCCTATGCCAAAACAGGAAAAACTTACAAGTATCCTGTTGCTTTTTGCCCAGATCTGACAAACAATACTGTTCCGTAGATTGAGACGTGAGGAAAACCAAATTGAAAATGAGAAGGATACCATTACATAGGATCGAATGATATTTAGAAAGGAAACGGCGAAAAGGATTTCTGCCGAGGACTTGGAGTGACGTAGTTCCGGCGATTGAAAGACAGTGTAAGGAACGACACTGTTTTTTTCATTGAATTGTGAGATAAACTGGATTAAAATCGAGAAAGATACCAGTAGGTAAAATCACCGGATATTTTAAAGGAGAACCACATCTTTGAAAATAATTTCGAAGTTAAACCTTTTGAACACCACTTTGAGAAATAAAAAAAATATATTGCCGATTTTCTTTCATTAAAGGAAAAAAAATATGCCTCAAAGCCATACCATTGATGAAATGTATTTCGGTGATCCTGGCCACCTTAGGGAACCTGAGAGTTTTCAGACAAATTTTAAATCCAACGGAAATCGATCTGTATTCTATACGATGTTTGCAAAATAACCACATGATCAAGTGCCGACAACCCAGGGCAAGTTCGTGAAAACATTATTGATAAAGTTTTACGTTGGTTCTTCAAACAATAGAAGCGTTGTTAAAACTTACACAAACAATTTACAACCACGACCACAGGCAATAAAAACAAACGTGACGAAGCTGGCGGGCACGCGCACGAGCTGTAGGTGATGCCTGGGGGAATGTTCGTGTATCCCACGTGCAGTACACACTCAGCACCGTCTGCGTGACAAATGGACATTTTGTTACATTCGAATGCATGGAAGGTGCGTGTATCGGCGAAAGTCACCTATCTTAAGTAAGATAAATAAAACAACCAAGAGATATTTTTTTCAGCTTCTTCCTTCAGTTTTTTGCCTTCATTTCTTTAGCGGTATGTAAGAAGAGAGTTCATAAGCAAAATAGATGCGCAAGAAACTTAAAATAAAACAGTTAAGAAGTTAACAGAAGTTAGCTTACGAAGGGGAACAGAGAACCAAGGGTGAAGTTCACACACGTGTGCACGACAGGAAACTGATATCATCGGTCACTGACCTTTCATACGTACGGTTAGACATCCGATGAAAATCTACACGAGGGAAACATAATTTTTATAAAAGTGACGATACTCCTCGTTATTAGTCATTTACAGAAGGTTCGCTCTCTTGCATTACGGCTGCTTGTCAGAGATCAGAGATGTACATCCCTAAATGGGACTTCGCCTTGAGCGTTTTTACCAGTGTTTTTAGAGTTGGCCGTTATCCTGACCAAGTTGACTCTCGTCAAACGTCAACAGTATTCAGCCTGGACGAAGGTACACTCGTAAAAATTTTCAGTTATCTTCCCATTCGTGACTTGGTTCGGGCATCGAAAGTGTGTAAGTTATGGAATAGATTGTCATACGACCGTCTATTATGGAAAATCGTCGACTTAAAGTGTTTTTATAGATCTCTTATCGACCCTATAACGTTCCAAACGCAAGCCTTCACTAGATTTGCTGGAAAGGTAAATTGTCTCGACTTGAGTGGCTTTACTCTGACCGAAGAAACTGTGGGAGCTCTCGCCACTTATTGCAAGGAGCTGCGCGTTCTGAAACTGAAAAGTGTGAAGTTTGCTACTCTTTCAAATGGTGTTTGCACAGGAAACCATAGCCGAAATAATATTATGTTCCCCGGGAATCTTGAGTACCTGGACATAAGGTTCTCTCATGGAAACCCACAAGTCTACAAGGCAATTGCAGGGCAGCTGAGCAATGTTAAATGGCTAGGACTCTGTGACCCTTTTTTTCGCGCAGCATCATCGAACGGCGGACTAGAAAAAATTATTGATGGCATGAAGCGCCTAGAAAAACTAGATTTGAGCCACTGTCTGCTTCTCCAAGACAAACAGTTGATGGGATTTGCGCGCTGCAGCAATTTGAAAGTACTCAGTGTAAGGAGATGTTCATTCCTAACCGGCAGCTTCGTAGAAAATTTCCTAGAGTCCTGCACAAAACTCAAAACTCTTATTTTGGACGGAATCAGTTTAGACGATGAAACTCTACAAAGAATCACTTGGCGATATTCTTCCTTGAGACATCTAGAGCTGGGATGGTGTCCTCTCGTCACCCCAACTGGGTTGAAGACAGCGCTACCACGCATAGCAAGAATCCAAACATTAGAGTACCTTGGACTCTGTGCTATTGGAAGTGGAAAGGCTTTGAATGATGAAATCCTGCTGGATCTTGGCGTAAGTCTATCTTACTGGCGAAATACGCGTCTACAATCCCTAAACGTCAGCCGTTCCAGGTCCCTTACGCAAGATGGTGTAGACGAGTTCAACAAGATTTACCCGTCTATCGAGCTTTTAGACACCACAGATTGTCCAGCGATCTATTCTTCCCACTCAGAGCTATGCAATGAAGCATTAAACAGCTTTCAAGACGAGAAGACCAGTAAATTCACAACAACTCCAGGAGCTGAAGTCTTGAGGCAACGGAATGGCTCCATAAGCGCCATCCAGTTTGCCCGATCTAAGTACACTTTGGAAACACCTCTTTGATAAACAATTTTCTTTCGCTTTCCGGCTACGCTAATATATATATTAGTGAAATGGAAAAGAAATCGTAGACGTTCTTGAAATCAAATCGTTTCGTATCTTTTCAGTTGCAGATTATGTGCGTTCCATTTTTCCCCCATCGATGGACCTCGTATATTTCTAATACTTTTTCACTGACAGTTTTCTCTACTAAGTTTTTTGTTGTAATCTATTTATCCGAAACGAATTTCGAGAAAAAACACTTGCAGGCCTTGGCTTTTAAGAGTCAGCAACAAATCTCTCGTTAATATAACCGACGCCCCGAGCTTGAATGATATCATGATTTTTTGTACAAAACTATTTATAGACGGTAAATGCATATTTTGCGGGACATTTCAAAAGAGTCAAATATGTAACACGTGGAGGATATGTATTTAAGCCCGTGATTTAAAAGCCGTAATTATTTTTGTTGTTTTAATAAATACAGCATGCTGTAATTAGAATCTAGATCTTTTCATTCCTCGTCAGGGCTACAGTGTGAACCCCTCACGGTTCCATATCGCCTTAGCACACTTGTGCTCCGCCCGCGCGAGACAAGGTGAATATTGACACCAGCGCGGTTCAGCTGTGCTCTCTTATTTCGTTTCGTGGATTATTCCACAGCCATTTTCTAGTTTTTTAACAGTGCAAGGAAAGTTAATGTTTGAACCCAAGACATTTCGTTTGGTACTAAGGACCCGGCTGAGATAAATCTCTTTCTTTATTTACCCAACAAAAATACATTTTAACATGTCTTGCCCTGAATTTCACTCAATAATTTTCGCGAAGGTCTGATAATTCTCGCTCAATTTACCCCTCGCATTTAAACAGATCCCTTACAGGATCTACTGTCAACGGATCTCCCGCCGGCATCATCCCAGACGATTATTTCCCGCTTTTAAATGTCGATTATTTTTAAAATTTTGCTTTAATGCTTCTTTAAGATTCGTTCTCAAATGACTTGCTGTGGGACAACAGCGTAAAGCAGCAACGTACACCGGAACACGACATACAACTTCCCATGGAACACAAAAGAGGAGGAAGCTGTTTCGTAAATCCCGCGGTATCCTCAAATAGCTTACAAATACTTGTAATCGATTTGCGATTTTTGATGATAGAAAGGACTTCCGAATATTGAGAACAAAGTGATGGATTAGAGTGATTAAGATGTGGGTTTCCTGCTGAAAAAAAAAAAACAACGAATATCGCGTAGCATACTGAGTCATTGGTGAACAAAGTAAGAGCGGGGAACTTTGATAAAATTGGGAAAATTTCAAAGTTAGGTTTTACACTAAGAAATGTGGCAAAATTTAATTTTTAGGTTGTCTTGTCTCTGGCATTTTCATCTGACTAAAGGTGTTCTACAATTTTTTTTTTCTATACATGGCTGGCTCCATAAAAGGGCAAGAGGCAATAAATGCACTCTCGTGATTGGCCAACCGAGGGGGAAAATATAGCCCCCTCTATGACGCAAAAGGCAAAATACCATGGTGTAATGTTTTGGTCACATAGATCTTTGAAATAACCGACCCTTTTGGTTGGGATCGCTTCAAATTGGATATTATTAGATGTATGCATCACTCAAGGGATGATCGCCGCTCGTCGGCTGTAGCCATCGTCTGAATTGATGGCGTGAACTGCCAGAGTTGACCGACTGGCAGTTGAAACTCCACGGTGAACTTCAATTTTTAGGATGTCTTGTTTCTGGTATTTACATCTGATCGAAAGTGTCCCTTGAGATACATATTTTTTTCATGGCTAGTTCTGTGAACTGGCATGGACCAGATGAAATAGATGCGCTCTTGTGATTTTTTAACCAGGGGAGGGGGGATAGTTCC